AGATAGATAGATAGATAGATAGATAGATAGAGAGAGAGAGAGAGAGAGAGAGAGACAGAGAGAGGGGGGGAGAGCAAGGTGGACGTGGGTGGTTGTGTAGTTCAAAGTACACAAATTTTAATCATAACACGCTCCAGACTGAATGCATCGTGTCGCAGCAGGTGACGAACTAGGTTCTTATAAGGCGCCTGGAAGTCGGAGATTCTAGTCCGGATTCAGTTCATACGAGTTTGTCCCCTTGGAATTTCTGTTTCTAATCCAGTGTCCTTCAAAATGGCATACAATGCGCACCATGGCTTTAAAAAAGCACTTTCAATGCTTTCAACTTCAGTAGCAAGGAAAACAACAACGATAGTTACAAAAACAACCAAAATAGCAATAGCAGTAGCAGTAGCAGCAGCAGCAACAACAACAACAACAAGTACCTATATATTGTACGTTTGATTGGTTTTATCAGCGCAGAAAAAGAGGAGACCGTTTGCCTACGGAAGACGAGATGACGACTAGTCTGCTCAATCAGGAGCCCGGGAGCCCAAAGTTGTCTTTCCTTTCCTTCACCAACGGGTTCCACGGCCGATGCATGGGTGAGGACACCTTTAGAAACGTTACATAACTACACCTTCGTGTAGCAAAGCAGCGTATTGCTTTTAGTTCTGGTTTTGTTATTATTGCAATGGTCCTTGTTTCACCCCCCAAAAACCCCAATTCTCCGTTAGTAATGTTAGTCATTGGCAAGGTGTTGTGGTCAGCTCCTTGTCTTGACTGGCGTCTGTGGTTTAGCAATTAGGCGCTTCCCGGTCGCACGTGGAAGACTTGAATTCGAATCCCATGCGGGGACAATTTTTATCGAGTATCTCTGTATGATTTCTAGGACGTTGTATTCCTCTCTTCCCAAGTTGGCCCTAATAGATGCATTTATTGGGGTTTAAAAACCTCGTAACCATTTGGCTTAGTGTGTGCTGGTTTTGTTTTTCCTCCGCACACTTGTTCCCAAGACAGGTTGTGCCGATCGCGACGTGTTGTCTCGGATAAGGAAAGAAAAACCTCAAATGCCCCTTTACCATGCGTATTTAGTTCCCCAAAGTTACCAGTGGTTCTTGGGTCATGATTAATAGGTCATACTTTTCTTTACTACGGTATTCATGTTTTGTGACTTTTGGTCTACCGGGTATCTTTCTTTTTCCATTCATCATATCATGTCTGTCATTTGTTTTACTGACTACTAAACCTTAAAGAAAAGATGTCTTTGTCTTTGTTGTGTTTAGGCGCCCTGGGTATGAGCCACGCCAAGTGGTTCCACAAATTGGACTTTCCAGTCCCGGACTGGCCTATAGCGCCGTTCCCACAGCTGAAGTACCCACTGGAGGAACACGTCAGGGAAAACGAGCAAGAGGAAAGCCGGTGTCTGGAGCAGGTCAGTTAGGACAGGGGCTGTACTAACGACCAGGAGAAATAGATAGATAGATAGATAGATAGATAGATAGATAGATAGATAGATAGATAGATAGATAGATAGATAGATAGATAGATAGATAGATAGATAGATAGAGAGGGAGGGAGAAAGAGAGAGAGAGAGGGGGGAGGGACAGAGAGAGACAGAGAGAGAGAGAGAGAGAGAGAGAGAGAGAGAGAGAGAGAGAGAGAGAGAGAGAGAGAGAGAGAGAGAGAGAGAGACGGGTGGGGGGCAGGGAGGAAAGAACGGGAGAGAGAATATGTAGAGACAAACGAAGCCGGATTTAAGATGATGATTATCAGACACAAGGCACATGCATCATAAGTATTATCAAGCGCTTTTACGTGATCGACTCAAATATCATCACTTCAAACTTATGACCACAAAATATGCACACAAAAAATTGTGCACGCCAGATTCATTGCATTTGCGGGCATTAATGTCCTCCACTATTTTATCTCAAATATCTCAATGTAGGTGCGTGATTTGATCGAGAAGTACAGCCAACGAGGAGAACCTGTGGCCGGCATGTGTGTGGAGCCTGTGCAGTCAGAGGGCGGAGACAACCACGCTAGTCCCGCCTTCTTCCAGGGTCTTCAAGATATCTGCAAGGAGGTTTGTTGGACGATCCTTTTCCCTATGCGTAGGATACGATAGATTATGTGAGGTAATCATAAGATAGATAACGTAACGTAATCCTATCCTTTCGTCACGTACTCAGCAATTAACTCAGCTGGTAACAATGTGTGGACTGATATGCAGGTCCGAGATGTCTCGACTGCTTAGTACATATTATAAGACTCAGCCGTGCGCCATTTTGAAAAGTGACGAATGACGGAGCCTTTCACTGAGCAGTCGATCTGAAGAAAATAATGCTAGCCTAATATCTGGTACTCAAATCGCCCCCCCCCCTTTCTCCCCCTCCTTACCAACAACAAGCACGAGTTTGGTTGTTGAATGGGCGAGTGCTCCACCTTCCGTAGCCAAGACACACCACCTTCGTCAGAAATTGGCGTCTGAACTCAAACTCACGCTTCGTCCGCAGAAATTCGGAAGCTTGTTTCTTACTCAAATATCTCTGAACCGTTAAAGCAAACTACATCACAAGACAAGCACGTAAAGTCTCAAAATCTGAAAAAGTACAAGTTCTCTTCCAATAACTCAAAAGGACGTAAGTAAATTAATACTTTTGCAATAATACCAACCACAATATGCGCTTACCTCCCTGGACAGAAGATCTATTATCACTTCGACTGTTATTAACTTTGGCTTTTTTCTTTTTCTTCTGCTCTAAAAAATAAATGATTTAAAACAGTCTCCTGCTTTATATTTTCTTATTTGTTCCCCTTACCTATCATCATACCCCAACCCCTGCCACAAGAGAACACGACCAAAAACTCACCCGTTGAGGAGCTTATGAAACATAATGTATTTATTCATTGACGGGTTTATATTTTCCATTCATACACTATCATTTATTATTGTTCTTTCAGTTTTTTGGGCATGTCTTTTTAGATACGCCGTTTCTCTTACTGCTTTGACAGATTTGTGGCTATAGCATCCACAGTTGAAAAATATTATGTCTAGAAAGGTTTTTATATAATGTATCATGACCTTTTTCTTTTTCTTTCTTTCCAATTTCCAGACAGGAATCTATCTTATGATCGATGAAGTCCAAACAGGGGGTGCTGCGTCAGGGAAATTTTGGGCTCACGAACATTTCAACCTGAAAAGTTCCCCAGACGTTGTCACTTTTTCCAAGAAGATGCTTTCAGGCGGGTTCTACTTCACAGATGAACTGAGACCTACGGAGGTAGCCTACTTGTCTATTTTCCGTGATTTTGCTCTAAAAGTTCAATAGAAAACTGAAACTGAACTATTGAAGATTTATATGTTTTTATAAACATGCTCCCCCATCTCCCTATCCTTCTCTCTCTCTCTCTCTCTCTCTCTCTCTCTCTCTCTCTCTCTCTCTCCCCTTGTCTTTAATGTATTTAGGTCGTTGAATGGAAATCCCAGATGCCCCCTCCCTCAATAAAAACCATGCACATATTGACTAATACTACGCTAAAATAGTTTTTTTGTGGCTTTCCATCTTTCATCATGAAGGAAATAAGGACATGATTTGAATAGTAGAACGAAAATAAATTGCCTTTATAGAGACTCACCTAACAAAGGGAATTTCAGAAGGAAGATATAGCCTAATATATAGGCTATCAATTTGAGATACAGAAAAGAGCATTGATACTATACATGTTACTCAGTGCTTCCAAAGGGAGTCCCCCC